TGAAATATTTAAACTAATAACAAAGCCAGATCTTATAAGCAACCTATATGTCATCAATCATGGTGTCAGGTCCATTTATAGTATGAGCTCAAGGTGAAGGTGTAGAGGAAAGGGGGGAAATCTTCATTTTATCCAAATGGTCACAACAATAATCGCACTTAATAGAAATTCATGAAACAATGCAGTTTCACCGTACATGGAAGATGTAGCTTGAAGACACCAGTACACATAATAGAAGATTGAAAAATATTGCATTACTATATACTACATTGTACTGCCTCTGTGGCGAAAACGTGTACTGATTAATGAATATGCATGTGTAGCCCCCATCACGTTCTGTGATGTGGCTACTAGACATTTAGTGATAGCCAGGGCTGTTGTCAGCCTGGCTGGATTTATAGTGGCAATTATCTGGTTAATTCCAGGTGTCTAGCATTGCCTGTACCCCCTTGGCTGAGTGTGACTCTGTCATATTGTGGGACAGCCAGTGAGAGGCACTGTAATGTATGTTCATTACGGCAGTCAATCACTGGGTTTCTTTCAACCAGTGGTGCATGCTGAGATAGGGTACATATACTGGTGGGATTTGCCATGTGCTCAGACTAGTAGGGACCAGCCATGGAATAGAGCTGGGTGCTGTTCAGCCTGCCCCCCCCCCCCGGCTAGGCCTGAGGCCTGGGGGTGGGCACAGGCTGGTGTGAGGGAAAAGGTTTCCCTGAGGCCTCCAACAAGGAGGAGACCTGTGATGCTGATAGAGGAAGAGAACCGGGACCAATGCTGGCTCTTGAAGTACCCTGGTCCCCCCAGGCTAGGCCTGAGGCCTGGGGGTGGGCACAGGCTGGTGTGAGGGAAAAGGTTTCCCTGAGGCCTCCAACAAGGAGGAGACCTGTGATGCTGATAGAGGAAGAGAACCGGGACCAATGCTGGCTCTTGAAGTACCCTGGAACTAAGTGGACTTCAGGAGTATGGACGGTGTCTTTCCTGCTTGATGATCTGTATCGATCCTGCTTATCTGCTACATCAGTTGCTGTCCACTACCTCCCAAGTGGATCTACACTGATATGCCAACCAGGTCTGGTGAGTCTTGAGCTCTTGTCAGTTATCCCTGGAAGCTTAGAATCCCTATACCCTTTCTCCTCAGTGAAGATGTTCAATAAAACGTTATTCAGCATTATACTACTGGAGTGGCCATCAGTTTGTGGGCACTAGAAGAAGGGCGGTTAAGGCTAATAGGTGGAAAGCTGAAGAACATACCCAAGACAGACTAGAGATGATCCGGGCATTCAGCGGCTCCTTCGGTGGTGAGCGCTACACATGTAAGGTGATGTAGGGATCCTCAAGAGCTAGCCATTCAGGTCCATCAATTCACAACAAGCATAAAAGAAGGGTTAAGCAATATACCAGGGGTGGGCAACTCCGGCCCTCCAGCTGTTGTGGAACTACAAGTTCCATGAAACATTGCAAGACTGACAGTTACAGGCATGACTCCCAGAGGCATGTTGGGATTTGTAGTTAAAGCACATCTAGGGGGGCCAGAGTTGCCCACCCCTGCATTACACCCTTCTACCCTTCATTCAGAATCTATACTTCTTAAACTGTATATACTGTCAAAACCTTTTTTTGTTTCCAATAAAGTAGGGAAGGGTAAAACTAGGGTTGCCACCTTTTCTTCCAGCGAAACCTGAACACTCTAGTGACGCACAGGCATTTTTTGGGAAGAATGAGTCGCGGCTTGTTCATATGTAAATAGCGCCACCCATTCATATGTAAATATCACAGTTGAGACTATTTTTAGTGTGGGGCCAGTAGCCCCTATCCTAATTTTGGTTGCCCCTGTCTGCCTGACATCTTGTGTCCGGGTATCTGCTGCCATGAAACCCGGACACAGCATTCAAAACCCGGACTGTCCGGGTGAATCCTGGATAGGTGGCAACCCTAGGTAAAACCCCTGTTAAAAATCACCAGTTGGGAAAATTTCCTTTCACTTCCTGTCCCAGAGAAACAACAGGAAGTGAGATAATCTCTACAAAGTGAGAAGAATTCCAATCTTAGACTGGTGTCCCCATTGAAAGATTTCCCTGCACTGATCAGTTTTGGTGACAAGTGTAACATTCAGGATTTACCTAATTTTCTGTCCCAGGGACAATGGCCACCAGGGCAAACTTGACACACATTCTAATACATCAGTTTCAGCCCCTGTCACTAGGGCAAAGAGATGATGTTCTAGACCTTTCTCATTCTATCTGATGCTAATAAAAAAAAGTTTAGTCTTTAGATACATTTTACCTAGCCCCAACTCCCCTCATGCCGCACTAATAAAAATCATAGCAAATACAATATATCATATGCCTTTACCATAGTCAAAACTGGCATATTAGTCCCTGCTGAAAACATATTAAAGTATACGAAACCTTAAAGTATAATAACAATGTGGGCCTGTAAGAACCTATCACTAACCCTAATGAGGTTATCTAGAAATAACATGTTACTAGGATTCAAAGTGGGCGGAACCTTTAGAGGCAGAGGGAAATCAAGTGAGAGAAGGTAAGGCCCAGCAGCATGAATGGGCCATGCTAATATGATCAAAAGCCATGACGGTAAGGCAGCATGATGGCAGTGATTGGATATACTGTAGATTCTGGATGGATTTAATAAGCCTACAATTAAATTTTAGACAAAGTGCACTTATTCTTTTTGCGCCCTCCCCAGACCTAAACAGTCCTTCCCTTGCCCACAGATCTATATCAAGATCGAAGGACCACTGCTCCACTTTTTGTTGGCATCCAGGGCTGCAAGTCTCCCTCTCCTGGCTTGTGTCCCTCTCCCAGCTGGGTGGTGGCCCCATAGAAGTCTATGGGGCTGCAGTGGGCAGGTGTGGCCAGCAGAGGGAGCATTGAAAATATAATGATAAGTGCTCTTTGTTTTAAAGTATATTTTAAGGAGAACAACTGAAAAATGTCATTTCTAAGGTAAGGAACTAGAGGTCACATGAAGTCTAAGAGTTGCTGGCATGTCAATTACTAGAACTGTCTTCCACCTTCTGAATGCAATATTTAAGCCCAGGCACTGGACAGGGAGCAACTTTCAGACTTCAAATGACCTCTGACGCCCCCACTAGTTCTCTTTGAAGCCAATAATATACAGTCTTGTAGTATCTCATACTTTTTAAATATAACAACATAGAACATGGCTAAAATCCTCCAGCTGTATAAAAATGATCTGATTATAATTCATATATGTCCCAATACATAGTACTCAGGGTCACCTTGGGGGTGTATTTGATCTCTCGCATTTTTCTGCTCCGCAAATCTAGTAACATTTACAGTAGCTCTTACATTCTCAGAATCCAGCACACTTACTTTCTATACTCTCATAATATGCAGACATCAGAACTATATTTGGGCATATTAAAGAGGTCTGTCCACCCAGAACTAATATTTCTGAACCAAGCACCATTTTCTTAGATCACTCAGAGACTGTGGTAGCGAGATCTTCCAGGTGTGCCCACCTGCCTTGGCCATTATAAAGGGGTTTTGCTCATCCTGTTTGTTGTTTATTTACAGAAATGATAGATAGGCTGAGTATGCCATGCAGAAGTAAAAGTAGTTAGAGTCCATGGCAGGACACACAAGGTCAGATACTCCAACAGAAGTATCTCATCAACGTTGTCCCAGTGAAATCAAAGAAAACCAATGGTTGATTCAACCAACCAGTATCCTCATAAAGCAAATATTTTGGTTTTGGGTAGATTGACCCAAGGCAATACCAAAAACAAATCATTTGCAGTATCGCATAACAACCAGATTTTATCTTTCAGCAGTTCAAAGCAGTCAAAACAAGCAAGGATTATGGCTAATTGGTTTTGGTAGGTAAGTGCTCATTTGCTTTTGGTTTTGATGAATTTCATGTGTTGCTAATGGGCAGCCTTCTCCTAACATCCTGCAAATACAAAGCTATTGGGTCACCGACCTTGAATGATCTGTTAGGCTGACCACACATGATACAGCCTGATTGTACAACCTCCTGTAGGGCCTACTAATTTGAATATAAACACAATAGGGGGGGGGGGGTATCAAAACTGGAGCAGACAGAATCTGGAGCATCTGCCCATAGTAACCAATCAGCTTCTATCTTTCATTTTTAAAGATTCACTAGACAAACGGAAGAGAGAAGCTGATTGGTTACATTGACAACTGCTCCAGATTCTGTCTGCTCCAGTTTTTGATAATTTCCCCTCAATGGATTGCTTAGTGCTAAGTGCTCACATTGCTGGAGATTTACTGATTGTACAATCAGATTGTAACAAGAGTGTGCAGCTTTAGAAAGACCGAACTCACGACACTTAATTTTTCCTAGTTTAGCTAAATCAATTCGCTTTCATCAGCCATAGCACTTCTAATGACTTTATTCTTGCTTAAGACAACTCTGTACAATGAGAACCCTTGCAGAGTGCAGTGCGATGGGCAGTAGCTCCTGGCCGATAGCAACCAATCAGGTGTCCTCTGTCATCAATTCAGAAAAAAGGTAATTGATGACTGGTTGCTATAGGTCACTGCACTTGGCATTGACTCTGAAGCTCCTCTCCCTGGTGCATACAGGTAACTGGCAGAAAGAAGTGTATGGTAGGAATCCATAGGAAGTACCCGTTTTCTTCTTTTATTACTTGCCCATGAAGCATATTCTTCCCTGCTATGCTGTGTCCTTTCCTTTCTGACTGATACATTAGTGGTTTGATTTTCTTGCACACAAGAAGAGATTTTCTTGCACACATCACTGGCCCTATATAATAAGGCAAATAGTAGTAACTCATAGCAACCTGTCTTTCACTGGTAAGGATACAGGAAACTGAAATTGGATTGGTTACTATGGGTTGCTATGGGCTACAGCATCTCGTTGTTGCCTAGCTGCTGTCTGATTGACTGACCATGACTTTATAAATCTATGTCTTGATGCTAGGTAAAATGACAAGCAAAGCATGCTTAAATATAGCCAGGGCTTACCGTTCCAGTGGCAGCAATCAGCGTGGCTTGTGTATGTGGTGCCTTAAGACAGATGTGATTCTCTCCTTCAGAAACAGCTGGATGTCTGGTCAGCTGCTAGTGGCACCTTGCAGCCTAACAGCAGTCAGCTGAGCCCAGCTCAGCAAAGGAGAGAGTTTTCTAACATGTGAATATTCAGGATGAGTCAATTCTCTTTAAGACCGAGGGGCGGGAGTGTGTAAGAAGAGAGAAGGGGCAGAGACCAAGAGGTTTTGGAGTGGATTCCAGCCCCCAGATTACTTTTCACTTTCACAGCCCCAAAAGTTGATTTTTTTTTTCCTCTACTTGTTATTTCTTTTTCAAGAAAAACAAAATCCTGAAAGAGGGGTGTGACTGGAAGGAAGGGTGTACGTTCGCAGGGGTGGATGGTATTGGGTGGGAGAAAATGACCTTGCCCAAGGTGTAATGTCACAAAGATGGATAAATTTAGATCTGACTTTACATGAGGAATAAAGCAGTATGATGCAGTGTGAAGCTTGTAGAGGAAAATGACATTCATATGAAAGGGAAGGTTTATGCCATTCACACAACTTGGATTTCTAAGTGCGGCACAGTAGGAGCATTTGTTCTTATTGGTGCTGAATCTGCTCATCCACCTTATCAATCCGGTTACTTTGAACAGTGGGGCAATTGATCAAAACTGGAGCAGACAGATTCTGCAGCAGTTGCCCATAGTAACCAAACAGCTTCTACCTTTCATTTTCAAAACTTAAAATAGTATTAAACTCCCAAACTTTTTTTTTTTTTCAACAATGAATCCAGATCAAACAAATATATATTGCCCAGCAAAGTATTCCTTTACATTTTTGCCCAATCCCTTACAGTTATCATGTTTCCAAACAGCTTTAACTTTTTCAGCTCTGCTCAGCTTCCCTGAACTTCCTGTCCAGTCCAAGACCAGAAGGGACAGTGCGTCTTCAGCAGTCGTGCATCTACTAGCTTAGAGAATGGAGGAGTGGGGAGCAGGGAGCAGCAGGGGGCAAGGGAAGTGGCTTGCCTTGCTGTACCTGTGTGTTTGGGAAGACACCCACATCTTACTAGCACACACAAGGGTGGCTCCATAGGATCCTGTAAGGGAAAGGAGTCACCCTAAAACAGGATATCAGGGCCAGTGCTGAAGGGACAAGCTGATTCAACAGGAAGCTAACAGGGTTATTTACAAAAAGGTGAATGGTGTGTAGAAGGCAGGAGAAGTGATTAATCTAGGACAAAATAGCAGATATGGAAACATTCTCCAATTCAGCTCACTTTCCAGTTCAGCTATGTTGTTCTAGATTGACTTCTCCTGCCTTCTCCAAACCCTTCACCCTTTTGTGACTAGCCCTGTAAAACTGCTCCCGATTTTGTCTGCTCCAGTTTTGATAAATTCCCACCTGTGTGCACCATTCATTGTTAATGGAACCCCAAAACAACTTGCTGCACCATGTACTTTCATTTGCATGGGTTTTAGGTCAGCACATTTTGTAAAAAAGGTGCAGAGTCTTCTTTGGTGCGATAACACACAAATATGTGCATACACACCGTCACACCCGCACAAGGGTAAACAGAACTTAAAGGTGGCCATACACTTTACAACCCTCGCAAGACCTTAGTCTTGCGAGGGTTGTAAAGTAATTAAAAAAACGTACGATCTGCCCATCTTGGACAGGCAGATCGTACTTGTGATCATGGCAAGCCTGCCCCCCTGAGGGGCGGGCTTCCGATGACTGCAATGCTAAACGGGCAGTGTGCGCGTGCGCACACCGGCCCGTTCGGCATTTGTCTCCCGAGCACCGATTTTCGGCTGGTTTTCTAGCATGCTCCTTAGACAAAAGACGTGCGACTGTACAGTAGAAACAGTCGCACGTCTTCATTCACACTGCACGATTCTCGTACGATTGCGGGATTTCCCGCGATTCTGGTACGAGAATCGTGCAATGTATGGTCACCTTAAGTCAGATTGGCAACTCCAGCGCTCCAGTTGTGCTTCAACAAGCCTCATTATTATTATACATTATACAGGATTTATATAGCGCCAACAGTTTGCGCAGTGCTTTACAATATAAGGAAGACATCACAATTACAACACAATTCAAGACAAGATAGTAAGGAGGGCCCTGCCCCTGAGGGCTTACAATCTAAAAGGGACTTGTAGTTCTACAACAGCTGGAGGGCCGGGGTTTCCCACCCATAAGGTGCGTTCAGTTGCTCAGCCGCTGCAAGTGCTGCGTTAACAAACCGCCGCTGAACTTAGCACTCACAGCGAAAGTGAATGTGGCTGTGACGTCAGCATAGTAGTAGCCCCGATGGAGCAAATCACAATTCATTTTGGAAACCTACAATTTTAATGTTTTGGTGGACAAGTGTGAACAAAAAACTGTGTCTGAATAAAATGGCACACTTTGTTCAAAATACTCTTTTATTGCAAGGGTGGGCTGGTGACCTAATTATTGCTACCATATGAATATATTCATTTCTATAACTTCCTCTGATAATAAAACATGCATTTCATCCATAGCCATGGCTCTCAGTTTCCCCCTGTACAAAAGTAAAAATGTCACTGTGCAGCCGAAGTGTTCAGTCAGGCCAGGTTCACACCTGCACGATTCGTGACCATGCGGCAAACATGCACGATACCGCGCGGATTGCCGTGCGGTCAAGGAGTCACCAACCACCGCCGATCACGCTGGTGGTGCCATTATTTTCTAATGGCACCCCAGTCGGGCCGGGCGGATTGCACGCTTTCCCACCGCGATTCCACCTGTGCAATCGAACACGATTAGAGCTAAAACAGCTTGAAATCAATGGGGCTGCACGGCAATCGCTATGTGCAATTGTGCACTGGTCACTGTAACTCCCAAACAGTTACTTTCATATAGCTGTCAGGTTTCCAGTGCACCTATTTCAGCCCTCAACTGAACTTTCAAGCCCTGAAATGGCTGGTGTCATATTTGATCACATGTGCAGCAGCATGGCAAACAGAGGCTAAGATGGCACCTCACTTGGCTGTTAAGGATAGAAGGTTGTAGTTCCAAAGCTGTTTTTTTTATTATCTAACTTTCACTTGAAACATGTGCTGAAGGGACAAGCAAATGGCCGGAATGCTTGTGCTGACACCATTGACCTTACATTGCCACATGTCATTGACAAATTATAGCCATGTGGCCATATAAGTTCAGTGACATCATTGCATCCAATCTCTTTACTTATGTGCAGCTGCAGCAGGGGCATTCCCCGGCGGCAGCTGATTGGGCAGCAACGGAAGGAGATCCGTCCCTGTTCAGAGGAGATCCTTCTGTGTTCAGAGGATCTCAGGTTTGGACCAGGTTCAGTTCCAACCTGATCTCATCCCTATTCAAAAGTAACACTGTTGATATTGCTTTTCACTGCTTCAGGCAATAAACCAACTGAGGGAGATCTGGCATTCAACTTTCATTTGTTTTATTTATTTAGCTTTTAAAAATCAGCCCTATCGTGTCATCAAACCATACAGCTGTAATCCCAATATTGTGTCTGATACATGTGAAGGTTTGGGGTAAAGATTAACTTCTCATTTAGCACCGTTTCTCTTATACCAACTTACAATATAAATCATGTAGCTTTTAAAGACAGATGTTAACCTCTTAGCCAAGTGTGAACTGCCAAGTGTGAAACTGTGAAGTGTGTGATTGTTGACTCTGTGCAGAGATAGGAATCATAAGCATAGTTATCAATGCACCCTGTACTACAAAATATTTCAGTAGCTTGTAGTTGTGCTTAAAATACGGTAACATTGGAAAGTCTTAAAAAAGAAGCCTTTAGAGTTAAGAAGGACAGCTCAATATCAAAGGTGTAGGATAGTCATGTATATATATGTGTATGTATGCAATTTGTACTGTATTTTGTGAGCCTATGTATGGATTTGTATCAGTGAATGACAACTGAAGACATTTTTCATCAAATGACAGACAACCCCCAAGGGGATGGCTAATAATATTCATAGTTTATCTAGAACTGCATATATGCTTAGCAGAGATGCATGCCTCCCAAATAGAACTATGTGTCCCATTAAACAAATATGTGCTACAGCACTTAGTTATACGTGTATCTACACTTATCTCTTAGTTCCCCTGCAAAGTCCCACAGATACCTGTTGATCCATCAGTGAGACCACCTAATGCAGCTTCCTGTGATGGCGTGCCAACAATGCTGTACTGCTCCTGAATTCAGAGCAGCATGACTGCTCTCATGTAGGCTGTGCCTGATTGCACTATCGTGGAATATGATGTTGCAGGGGCATGGCGATCAACATTGTCACTGCAGGTTCACGAGCTTGCAGCTTTTCAGTCGACACCTGGTCACACCTAGTCCTACTCGCTGCTTTCTGGATTGACAGCACTGCCTTTGTTGCTGAAGCCCTCCTGGGAAGGTAAAGGAAGTTTTTGGTCTACTTTACCTAAGGAATTGTAGCACAGGATTAGCATTATTGGATGTATACCCTTGTATTGTGCTGAATAGTCAAAGATGGTATCCCATAAAGAGGTAATAGGATCTGGTTTCCAAATATAAACAGCCTACTCTTACGTTGCAGACACAGTGTGGAGAAGAAGTGATGCAACCATTGAGAGGCTGGTTGAGCATTGGGTTCCAACCATTTAGGTTGGGAAGTATGTAAAGCCTCTTGCTTGTCTAAGAGGCAAGAAACTCTGAAGCCTTTTGTGTCAAGTTTAGGTGGACAATAGACTATAAGTACAAGCTCCAATGAGAAGTGTATGTAGCATTGTCATCAATTATGCATTAGTCCTATAGCTAGGCACACTGGCGGAACTACAAGGGTCGCAATTGCGACCGGCCCCTGGCGTTCCGCCTGTTGGGGGGGGGCCCGAAAGCTTCCTCATGCCCCCCCCTCCAGATAGCACCGCTCCATCCTCCGCCGCTCTGCATGTATGAGCGGCTGTGCAGGATAGAGAGGCGCCTCTGTGTGTCACTTGTCTGTCTGGCGGGGCCGCTACCGACGCAGCAGGCGCCGCCAGGCAGCGCATTCTTCAGCTGGGACTGGGAGAGGACGGACCCTCTTCACTCGGCCCCGCCCCCTGGCCGCCAAAGACGAGGAAGCTGATCGGCTGTAGGATTAAGGTAAGTCCGTGAGATCCTCAATGGT